CACACACACACACACACACACACACACACACACACACACACACACACACACACACACACACACACACACACACACACACACACTGTGACATGTGTCTGTATGCAGTCTGTAACGTTTATGCTTTATTTGAATACACAGCTGCAGCTATAATCCATTAGTGGATGATAACCTGCAGATATTGGATTTGTTTAGGAGTGAGGAGTAAATCAAATCACTACATGTTGATGTTAGAGTGCACAGCTCATTGAGCTTCATGGACCTATAATGAATAATAATAATACATTACATTTATAAAGCGCTTTTCCTGGTGCTCAAAGCGCTTACAAGCAAGTAAAACAAAATAACAACAAAAGTAGAAAGTGCCAAACTAGGTGGAATAAGGGCGAGGGGTTAGTGGTTAGGAGTTGAAGGCAAGAGTGAGAAGGTGAGTTTTGAGGGATTTTTTGAATGATGTGAGTGTTGGCGGATCTGACGTGGCTGGGGAGGGGGTTCCAGAGTGTGGGGGAGGCTGCTGCGAAGGCCCTGCAGTGTTTCCCCTTGGTTTACTGACTTGGCAGGGTGCTGCTCGAACATTTTTTCGGGACACCCACATTTTTTGTTATCCTCTGGAGCAGAGAGGAGCTGTGGATTATTGTTATTGATATCGTACAGTAACAAAGTATTTGTACATTAAAAAGTGATACAGTACAGTGTTACACTGTATTACTTTTATTCAAACTGTATTCCCTTCTTATCATGTAGCCTACACTTCTTCCTTTCATTGATACATTTCACCTGACTACAGCATATAACATACCTGCTGCAACCCTGTGCTGCTGCTGCTGCTTCTCTCTGCCTCATCCTCTATTGCTGGAGGCAGCTCCACCTCATCTGATCTCTGATATGAAAGCAATCGTGTTATGATCATATTGAGCTATTGGTGTGAGTCTAACATTAAACAAGCAGTCTGCTTGTCATACATTGCTGACGATACATTTTAAGAGGCAATTTGTTGAGTCACTGCCGCTAAATGCCGGTAGCATCAAGCTAGCAAATCCTGCATTAGCCTCACATCAACAGGTGTAGACAGAACATCCAATTATCCTGAGCTAATTTACTGAATAAACCAACTCACATCCTGTCTTTTCACCCAACTCATTAGACTATTCTCCTGCTGGCGTTTCGTTGTTGTTTACTGTCAAATTCAATACTGTAGTTCAAAACCGCGGTACCTGCTCACCATCTGTGAGCTATTTTTAGAATGCGCACGCTACGTTCGTTGTCGCGTTCGCGCGCGTCCACCTGGGCAGGCTGTGTGTGTCTTTCTCCTCCGTGACGATAACGGCTTGCGGTTAAAAAAAATAATAATAAACGAATTTGAAACTGGGGGTGGGGACACACAAGCGGGCAGACAGCAGAGCTCGGGGCAATAATGCAGATTTGTTTGACTTTTTTTATACGTTGTTATTCTCCTCCTTTCCTCCGCTCTTGTCTCTGATTGTGAGTGTGTGCATTCGTGTGTGGGGGTGGGGAGCGGAGCAGAGCCCCGCCCTTCAGAAACAGAGCGGAGGGAGAATGTGAATACGCAAAGCAGTGGACACTGAAACATGCACATACATTGGATAAATAAAATAGGCGTTCAGTTTATTTAATAAAAGAGCACATGTTCAATGTGAAAAGTGACCGTAGATAGATTACTTCAGTTGCAATTTGGTGCTATAAATATATATTTTTTTAAATAAAAAAACACCTTGAATTTCAGGCAGGGCGCGGGGCTCCGTTGGCAGGGCGCAGGGCGCAGCGCCCCGCCAAGACAATGGTAGGGGAAACACTGTACTGGTTCCATGTTGATTTATTTCAATACAAATTGTTGGGGGGAACTGAAAGGCTATTACCGTACTGGTTACGTTGCAGCCCGGACATTTCCCCAAAAACACATTTAGACGCAATCGCAACACAGAAGTACCTTTTCAAATCCGATCATTTTTAAGACCTTTCTTATTTTTGTTGATTATATTTTAGACTTTTTAAGGCCTTACATTCTGATTATCAAATGTGAGGCTTTTTAAGACCCAGCGGGAACCCTGTGAACGTTATGAAGAACAGCAGATGAACTCACGTCTGTGGCGTAGAGGATGTCGATGATCCTCTGCATTGTGGGGTCGCCCTCTCCATCCTTCTCCTGGCAAATCAGCTCAATGTTCCGCAGCTTTCCAAAATAAAAGTCTCTCTCCTTCTCCATGTCCTGAATGGTAGATTTCAGGAGCTCAACCTGTGGGGGGAAAACGGTCAGAAAACATTACTTTCCTATCTTTTAAGGCAACTCAATTTGACAGAACATTAAAACCGTCGGTGTGCTGACCTCATTCATGAGCTCCGCCCTCTCCTCATCCCCTCCACCAAGAACCGTCTTCCTCGCGCTGACGTTAGACAACTTGGGTGCTACCTTTGCAACGGGTGGCCTCTGAGGAGCTGAAGAGGCAAGAAAATAAAGTTTAAACAAGAGACAAACTTTAACTCAGCAGCATGTTTCTATTTATTTTCACTCTGTGACTGACTTTGACTGATGGCCTTTTTAGGGGGTTTGGAGAGAGCCGACATGGAGGGGTTGGGAATGGGCATGGTGTCCTGACCCTGCCTCGCCTCCACGGGGTCGTACTCCGTCCCGTTGTAGTTGGCATCGAAGAACTTCTTAAACCACTGGACAAACTCAAAGTTGTCCTGGAACTTGCCCTTCACCAGTTTGTCTACAGGAATGATCTGAAAGCAAAAAGAGACAAGAGTAAAGACCAGGATGTTCAGAAATACATCTTCCTGTCAGCTCTAGGTCAACAAGCTTTCACTTCTGTCAGTGTGTGGGTCACTGCAGAATGTGTTACAAATCTAGTATCACCGTCAATACAGAGATCCACAATTACCATATTTTAAATACCTTGCATGCATAATGTTTCATTAAAACCTGCAATGACTGATTTGAGTTTAACTTTGGGGCCACTGAAACCAGCTTTAAAACACAACATGGACCCATCCTCCCTTCTTTCTTTGATATTTGCATTAATTGTAGCAAATAGGTATACGTGTTAGCCAGTTGCTACATTGCAGATACAAATTACATCCTGATTCCCTTCTGAGTCCATCTGATATCAGTTCAATTTGTTGCTGTCATTTAGCTTTAAAAATAAATACAATGCATATACAATGAGTTTTTAAAATTCAACATCCCTTCATAGTTCATACCTTATATTTTAATACAAAATAAATAATAATATGGCTTGAATCTGAAGCCAAAACATACCACGGGTTCATACTTTGCTCTACTAAAAAGGTAATACCGGCCCAGAAAGCACAAAAAATAAAAACTATATAGACATCAGAGGATGCTAAACTCTGCAAATGTCTTTGTACATTAAAACACACATTTAGCTGGGATCAAATCCACAGAAAGGAAAAGAGAGCAGCAGTAAAAATAAAAAAATCGACGTCAGCAGTAAACCAAATTACTCGGCGATACAGGAAGCTGACATTAGTGGACAATACACAGAGCCTGAACGAGAGCAAAGTTCACAATGCAGGCACAATGCCGGGGATTATAACCCTGAACAGCCATGAATACTGATGTGGGCTACATGTTCAAGCATCTCTTACTGATCTATAAATCAACACTGCAGGCATTTCAAACGGAGCGCAGATGGACAGTAGCGAGTTCAAACAAATGGGCGGCAGACAGGAAGTTGAAACATGAATAAATGATGACTGCTTTGTCGATAGTCCTGCAAGCTGCTGCACGTTCAGTCTGCAAACATATGACTCAGCTACATCTGCCCTGCCCCTTTTAATCTCTCTCCGCAAGATCAAGACATTATGAAGCATCAAGAACTTCTCAAAGCAATTATTAAATGCACTTTATATTAAAAAGCGTCTTAATAAGGAATAGATCTAAAAACATAGCAAAAACATCGCTTGTGCCTTTTCATATGGCAGCAGCTGAACAGTGTGTGCTACACCATTACGCTCATATTTGGTCAACTAAACCAAGACTAATGGACTTACATCCCTGAGAAAATGGCAGTAGAGCCTTGGTAAATCTGCCTATGAATTGGTGTCTCATTGATTTGTAACAGAGTAAATAATATCCAAAAGATGACAGGGCAGCTCACAAAGTGCCGAGAAACAAATAGCATGACTCATGACCAGATCAGCAGCTCAGCTGGTTGGGAGGGAGCGACAGGAGGTTCAGATTGCATACCAGTAAGAAACTTTAGAGTGAGGTTACTCTACAAACATTTATAATATTCATTTTGCACGCCTTTATACACCATTTTCGCTCTAAGGACGCGTCTTCATTACAGTGTCCAAAGAGAGGGGAGTATAGGTGTAGTGTTTTCTTCCTAACACAAGAAAAGGGGAAGTTGCCCAGTAATCCTCAACAAGGCAACATGACTCATTTCCAGGGACTTCTGACGACAGCTGTTCAACTTGAGACACTATTCATGATATGCAGACCCTTCCCACTTCTGCTCCACGATGAAAGCTGAGCAACCCATTGGAAGTTTCTATGACATTTGGAAGGTTGCATCCATGTCATTTTCCAGTATTTTACTTATGGTAGTCTTACGTTGGAAGTTATGTTCATTGACAACTGTAGTCTTGTTTGCCCGCAACCATTTCCATGAGAGGCCTTCAAGCTAGCAGCAATGAGCCATGTTGCTCAGGTGTAATGTAACACAAGAGCAAACATCTACTATTACAAACACTTTCACAATATTTTCTGCAATTCAAAATAACAAAATAAAGGACAAGGAAAAACAAAACAAAAATGGGCTGCCCTTTTTTCTTTCCTTTAACTACTCCTTTAAAAACATGTCTCTGTTCGACGTCCAAGTGCTCAAGACTGAACCAACAACAATTCACACACTTAAATATCAGAAATGATTTTAGGATCTCTTGGATGCCTGATGTAATTCCAATGAAACGTGTAAGGTGCAGTAGATGTGTGGTTGGTTACTTACTTTGTCGACTCCCATCTTTTTGAAGGAAACTTGCAGAAGCTTGAAGTTATGAATGTATTCGTGCTCCAGCTTGGCAGCAAATTTTACTTTCTTCAGAGGCACAGAGTTGGGAAACAGCATGTCCATGAACTGGCAGTAGGCAGCACCTAGACGATTACAATTATCCACATTAAAAGTTGATCTTAAATAGTGATGGAAAAGCTGCTGAAGGTAGCATAAAAAGCTAAGGAATAGTACCGATAGTACAAATTCAGCACATACATTTAACCCTTTCAGACTACACCAATAACTCAGTCAATTCTTAAATTTAATTTGCAAATGTACACACCCTCATGTAATGCTATGATGCTACAGGGATAATGGCAAATTTAGAAGCAACACTAACGTTCTTTTACCAGTTATGCATATGTTGATGTGCTCTTTAGATAGCTGACAGCACCACTGACTTACTGCACCAGTACAATCACACGCAGTCATGACGGATCTGGTCCTCCCAATATGAGACATTTCTTACCTGTACACAACATTTCTATCTTGGTGAGGGTCATCTGTAGAGAGTCATTGATCCAGATCAACATGTCATGACGACTTAAGTTTTCACTGGTCACTGAGGTGGAGTGCACGTTCACAGCCATTGTCGGTCACCTGCTGACACAGAGGAGACAGCAAGTGTGAGAAAGATTTACATGACTGGTTTATGAGTCAGAGTGACAGTGACTGGTCACAGCCAACACAGAATCAGAGCTGGTGTCAACGAGTTAACGCATGATAAATGCTGTGTCGTCAATGGGTGGAATTTTTAACTATAGACTTTGTAAATAATATGACTAAGAACTGTATAAAGCACAGATACATGCAACTGTGGTTATTGATTAATACCTTATTTGTATAGAGACATATTCTCAGATAAACAATTGCCTTTAAATAATGTACTTTTTATTTTGAGGCAAAACTTAATCCCTGATTATTTTCATTATCAATTAATCTTCAAAGTATTTTCTTGAGTGACCATTAGTAAGGTACTATTTCATTACAACATCCAAAATGACTATTCAACAACATAACTTTAGTACCATATAAGACAGAGAAAAGCATATAATATTAACATTAGAAAAGTTGAACCAGCACTAGCACTAAATGGATGAATTAACTTACAGCTTTAGGCAACACAGAAACATAATATGTACCGGATTTAGATTTATTGTAATATAAATCACATTGAACATGAAACTTGGCATCCAAGTTGACATATTTCAGGTTTGCTTTTAGTTAAAAACCTTCTAGCCAACAGAGCCAGTGGCTTTTGGACAGGAGAACTGCTGCACCATAGGCACACCCCGATATGCTGGCATCCAAAAGAATATTCTTATTATCAGCATGATTTATAGTTTCACTTCAACAACAACCAGTCAAACCCAAGTCATTATTTTCTTGATGCGATAACCAGTGTTGTCAGTTACATAAGTCATTAAAAACAGAGAAAGTGAGGCTTCAAGTCATCGTGTACGCACTACAATCATTACAGACAATGATATGTCTCTATAAATAAATAATTAAAAAAATGTCTCCAGTTACAGACGAAACGCTCATCCACATTCGCTGGTGTGGCTCATATCCAGTTATTTCCTCAACAGCTGAAAGTAATATATAGCGAGCCTGTAAAAATAAAAGGTCCCTTCTGACGTGGTCGACTATTGTGTTAACAAAAATCTGATCTTGGTAGATGGTTTCACAAGTAAATGAGAAATGACACCATAAATGAGAATATTTTGTCATGTGTTGGTAAAAAATCCACAACAACTTAAAAACCCACCATATTAGGTAGGTTCTTAATGCAGGGTTTGTTGCAGATTCATGAAATAAAACTGTTGAAATGTACTAATGTCATTGCCACACACTCACGGATGCAATATCTAACTATACGCTTCTGTACTTAATAAATAGCACACAATTTACAATATAAAGTGCAGGTATTTCATTCTAATAACAACTTTCTAGAGCTTTTATTTCTTTTTTAGATTTGCAAGATTAATATTATTAATAAACCTATACATATGATGTATTGTAATTGAAGTTGCCTGGCAGTATATAAAAGTATTTCAAAAAAATATCTCTACCTTTAACAGCTGCAACATTAAACAATTATTACATTCATAATTTCTGTAAATATTTGAAATGGGTCACTCTGTACTGTGAATACTTTTCCTTTTTGTTAATAAGCTTTATTTTTATGCTAATATTTCTATTGAAGTACGTCAATAGCTTGAATGCAGTCCTTTAACAGAGTATTTTTTACATAGTGGCACCTGCTCATACATAAATGAAAGTACTGAATTTAATATATTTTTTGACAGTTGGTCACCATTTGTTATTTCATCGGCCAATTCATAAATAAAGAAAAAAATGTGTAAGATTGTCAAAATGAATAAACGTTGGTTGCAGCTCTGAGTTACTAGGCAACTTGGACATTCCAGTTGATAGCAAGTAACGGTTAGCAAACGCAACAGGGCCCGGTTAGAAACTTCAAGGCTAACGGTAGCGGCAGCCAACTGACCAGCTATGCGGCTATCCTACATACTGTTTAAGCACGTACCAACAAGCTACACAATGGAATTAATCAAATGAGTAGTCGATTTACATATTAACGATTTATAACGTTGGCAATAACGTAGCTAGGTTTCTGTCACCGGCTAATCTCGACCACTGGCACCGGCGGACATTACCGAGTCGTTTTCCCCGCCCTGAACTCACCAAGCACCCCGCTATCTTGAGTTAGCTTCTCACTGTGGGCTGATGCGGCAAACGTTTAGTACCGAAGCTCAAAGGCGCTAGATGTGTCTGCAATATAATCAAACAGATGCAGTAGCAGCTGTTTATATTCATTGGTAGCCTCGCCCTAGCTGGCTTATTCCATTCGGGATCAGACGATTATGTTCTTGCTAGCATCTTAGCTGAAAAGGGCTTAGCCACCTTTCACATGCCGGTGGCTAATAACGCTAAATAACTCCTTGTTTCAGCGAAGTTACACCTACCTTTAGTGGATTGGCTTTAACAGATCTTGGACACAGTGGTGTTAGTATTTTTCTTGGCTGTCACTCGGTGTCCTAAAAAGATGTATCTGCAATTGTTGCGACGTTTTTAGGCACTTCTGCTTCTCTTCTCAGGCAGCTCCTCACGTTCACTCTACCCGGCAGCGGAAGAAGCGATCTGATGACGTAAGGACGTAATGGGTAACGCCTAAACGTAACAACGTAGTGACGCTTTTAATGCGTAGACCTCAACCCATACAGTCTATGACCTCAACCCATACATGCACAAAACACAGTGAACGGATAGAAAACAATATATTAGCACTATTTAAAATAGATTTTGATATTTCAGAATAAATATGTTAATACACAATTAGTTTTAAATGCCTTATTATTCATTGTTTTAATTGTTCTTATTTATATATCAAATATTGCATTTAGCATAGAATGTCCAAAATGTCCATAAAATATATAATTGTACACGTGTTATGTAAGGGTCTAAAACAGACACATTTTCACTTGTTTTTCATTGTTTCACAATCATCTTTTATGATATATTAGATTATGTTGTTGTTTTTCACTATCTCTGTAAAGCGACTTTAAGCACCTGTAAGAGCGCTTACAAAATAAATCTATTTTGTATTATTAATTTCAGAGTTACATGGTGGCTTTTGTTAAAGAAAACAAAGTACTGTCAGTATTTTTTATGAATGATCTTAGTTTTGTTAGAATTGTGGAAACTGACAAGATAATATGGGGTTTGTGAGCATGGCTGCACACCTGGTTTTAAAAAAACTGAAGAATGAAAAAATTCAAAAACTGTAAAGGATAAAGTTAAAGGAATCCCGGTACATCCTGATTACAAGGTAGAATAAATTACATTTAAATATAGTCTTCCAAGTAAATCTACTTCCACAGCCCAAATTGTGAAGAAAAAAACAAAGAAAAAGAGAAGCCATCCGTGGGATCAATGCAATTTTTCTCTTTTATTTGTCTTGTCAAGTCCCAAGTAAAACAAATCCTTATTTTCAAACAATGACTTTACAAAACATACATTATTTCCCTTAACAATGAACATATCTGGTACTGTACTCTACCCACATTTAAACATGAACATTTAACCCTTTAATCCAGCCCTCTGGTGTTCTGTGCAAAAATATACAGCACACTTTCATTAAAATAAAAAACACTTTTCAAAAACATTCTCCTATGATCCAGTCAGAAAAAGACTAGTAGTTTTCTTTACAATCATCGGTCAAAAAGGCCACATGCCTCAGTGGTGCAGCATCCTCACAAACACTTTGTCAGAAAAAAAAAAAAGCAGTAAATATAAACATTTTGTGACAGTTAGTCGATTCAATGCAGTAAACACTATTGTTGAATACATTTGTTCTGTTGAAACAAAATATCTATTATTATTTACCCCTGACAAATAAGAAACTATTTAACAACAAATAAGCAGCTGGTTGAAAAAAAAAGATCCTTTTGGACTAGGATCGTCTCCCCATTAACACTGAAGGATCAAATATG